TACCATGTCCACCCCTTAGATGTGGATCCAACCCCGCCCCCTGGATGTTTGTTCTGCAGTGAGGGGCTACTGGGGCCGCTGGCACTGTGATTGACAGGATCACTATCAAGAGCACATTCAGGGCTTTTTAGAGATATCAAATGTTTGGAGGTTTGATCATAAACACTCCCTCTCCTTGATCTTTAAATATGACAGAATGATCAAATTGAGCACTCTCAGGAAAATATGATAATGTTTTGTAATTATCGTTTAAATCTGGCTAATTTTTAAATATCTCAGAAAAATGTTTATGAGGTTTCAAATCAGAATATGACTTTTTGTTATGAAACAGGGCATCATTTTCATACAAGTCTTCTGTGGAGGACACCAGGACAAACGGCATGTTAATCAGGTATGTTGGGGAGACACATTAGGGAAAGAAATTTTAGATCAATATTCCTATATATATATGAGATATTCTTATGAAAATGTTGCCACGTTATTACTCCCATTACAACACTCTTTTCATTATGGTTTGCCCCAAGAACACGTTAATATGGAAATTAGATCCAATCTATATAGACATTGTATAGAATGGGAATACCAATTTATTTTTACACATATTCCATAAAGTAGGCTATAGTGGTATATCAAATCATTCTGCTATATCTTTCATAGTTGAGAATCATCTTTTTCATCAAAGTTTGGCTAAAAATAGCCTGAAACCTAAAAACTGATTAGTGAATGAAAAATAAGAGAGAAACAAGTTTTTGCCTATTTATGCCTTTTTTAATGTCTATTTATTTTTTTGAATTACTTAGTCCTGGCATCCTCTACAAAGGACATAGAATAAAAAATATTTTTTCAAAAATGTTTTTTTTTCTCCATTTATTTCTTATGCTCCAACCAATGTACTGATATAAAAAACGACAACAAAATTCACAAAACTTTTTTTTCTGGTTCTCAGGAGGTTATGGCTGATAAAACATTTCCACATATAACAGGGTGACAAACGTCTCTTGATTTTTTTAGTCATTAAAAATATTTCATAAACCTCATTCAAAGTTTCCACTGAAAATACAATATTTACTTCATTGTTTTAACAATGTGGTATTAGTTAACAGTGGCATCAAAAAAGTAAATAAAATTACAGAACTGTTCTGAAAGCATCTTACACTTTTTGAAAGACAGCACATTTTTTATGATGTTACCTATGAGTTATTTAACAATTTTGGATGAAACTACGATTACCATAACATTTTTTGCATTTCATAAAATTTTCAATAAAAATAAGGATGATTTTCAGTTAGCCCTTTAATAAATCGGACATGGTTTTATTTGGCAGACACAGCACAACAACATCATGACAATGAAATAGCAAGAAGCCAAAGATGTTTGCATTTTATGTCAGAAATTAAGTTTTATTTGACAATAGCCATGCTTCAAAGGACAGTAATTTGTATTTGTAACAGGTGTACTTTAATATTACATGGAACTCAATTCAATTTGCAAGAGTCTTTTACAAAATCTCCTGAGTTTCTCTCATGGTTCCTCTCATTCACATGAATTTTCTTCACAAAGGCTCTTCCGTCTGCTTCCAAGTTCTGCTCATTCATTGTCAGCCAAATCATTTTGCTCAAAATACCTTTAATAGACAGAAGCATGATTATACTTCATAAGAACACCTGCGCATATTTCAGGGAACACTAAATTTGTCTCTAACAACTCCATGTCAGTTACCTGGCAACAATACAAATCATCAAGTTAAGAGCTGACAAACGATCATCGTCTTTGCTCTCCTGGAAGAGAAAAATAATACACCGTCTATTTTAAGCAACATATTTTAGGTTGTCAACAAACAAGCCTTCACTTGTGCAACTGCAACGGAAGCAAGGGAGAAAATAATGATACCCCAGCTTTGAATTCAGAGCAAACCAAAAGGTGTTTACCAGATTGGCACGCACTGCAGAGCACCGTCGTGCCAACTGTCTGATAAGGGAATGTGCTTCAGGAAGCAGCGGTTTCTCAAGGCACGCTAGTAATGCATAAAGCCATCTGCCCTGTGAAGATAAATGTGCAACGTACAGCTAAACTGAGAAAATACAGTTCAAAAATACCTTTTAATTTTAAAGGGAAAAATGCAAAATATTTGATGTATTAGAAACAAAGAAATAAACATTTTATCTCAACTTTTAGAGTGACCTCTTAATTAAATATATCTCAATCGAATAATATCAATGCATATTGGATGTGACATACTGAACTTACCAACTGTGGTACAAAGTCTCTCTCCTCAAACCAATTGATTAAATACTCAAGCACAGCAGAGATGGTTGACTGAGCAGAGAATGCAATGAAATGACAAATAAATATTAGAATATGCGATTTATATGTGAATAATAAGCATATCTGCTGTCAAATGGCAATTACCTGGTTTAGTTTGCTGACAATGCTTAGGAAAGGTGGGAAACCAGTCTAATAAAAAGAGATTCAAGAACATTAAATCAAGACAGAATGCTCAAATTTTGGTAATAATAAATCTACACAGTGTAACTCAATGTAATCTACTTGTACTGACAACAATTATCACAGTGTTTTGATGATATGATAAGGGGAGAATTATTACCTTGACATAATCAAGACCCGGGTTAACTTTATCTTCTTCTTCTTTCAGTTGGATGTCAAGACAAACATTCTCACCCAAGCAGAACCTCTTCCATCCATCCTCATCCTCCGTTTTGGGCTAAAGTGGGGAGAAGACTTGGGTTTTAAAGCAACTTTTTCATCATTTAATCAAAAATACAGTAACTTGAGGAGGTACTATAGGATTGTAATGTATAGGTATGTTTTATGTGAGTGTAATGTATAATGTGATGTTTATGTGAGCGTAATGTATAATGTGTGGAATTTTGTACTTGTGACTGTAAGATATATCGTGTGGATTGAGTGCATGCAGCTGTTTAATGGTATGCTGATTGTTGAATAATTGCATACATAGATACTGCCATGCAAGAAAGATTTCAGACAAGTATTATATCATATCATGTTTAACTTCTGTCCAGATATCAATGATCTTACCATGACAACATTATCATCCAAAAACTGGGATTTCCAATGCTGACGATGCTTGTTAACACTCTGAAATAAGAAAGTGTTATATTGACTGTACTTAATTTAAAAACAAACAGACAAATGTTAGATACTTGATATTAAAAGTACTTGAACAAGTAACCAATGCATGTAAATTGAACACCTGTCTGACTTCTGAAAATTTGCTGACTTGTTGTTGCTGCCATTTCAAGCTGGGAGAGAAACCCTGAGGTGCGGCCAGACAACCTGTGATCTGTGAAAAAAATCCATATGCAAAATGATTACACAGATACGTTTTCAAATGTAATAGTCACTGTTCACTTGTCGCACTCACAGACACATTCACAGATTGTTTCTTCTTCAGCTTCTTTGGATCAATTTGTGCCACAACAACATCTGGGCACAGAGATGCTTCCCTTCTGTAAAAACATAACACAATTCTATTCATTTTTACAGCGAGCACCTGAAAAATCATTAAACAAACAAATTTATGTTCAAAAAAAGGTTTATAAATTAACATAAATATACAACCAAGTTATAAAGTCCAAAGTTCTGTAACCAGTTTTGCATTATTACTCCACGCCTTGGTGTCTTAGAGAATTAATTTCTAAATATACACAAGCTAAACCAAGTATCTCAAGTACACTGTATCACTGAGACATCTCCTAAATCAATATTTAATTAAATCTTTACTTGTTTTTGCATTTTATCCTTTAATATTATTTTCTCCTTCAGTACGTGTAAAACCTAATAATAATGTACGTATGTAAAGCACTTTGGAAACAATGTTGCTTACATGAATAAAGATCCACCTGCGTCTACTTTTAAACCCTAAAATGAAGATTAGATGAAGAATAAAAACAGGTTTATAAATTAACATAAATATACAACCAAGTTATAAAGTCCAAAGTTCTGTAACCAGTTTTGCATTATTACTCCACGCCTTGGTGTCTTAGAGAATTAATTTCTAAATATACACAAGCTAAACCAAGTATCTCAAGTACACTGTATCACTGAGACATCTTCTAAATCAATATTTAACTAAATCTTTACTTGTTTTTGCATTTTATCCTTTAATATTATTTTCTCCTTCAGTACGTGTAAAACCTAATAATAATGTACGTATGTAAAGCACTTTGGAAACAATGTTGCTTACATGAATAAAGATCCACCTGCGTCTACTTTTAAACCCTAAAATGAAGATTAGATGAAGAATGACTTACTGAACCTGTCTGAGATATTCTTGAGGGTTTCTGGGGGGTTCGTTTGAGTTATATTCCTCTGTGTCGCAGGACTCCAGGGGCAGAAGTCTGGGCATCAACTCCTCCATGTCTGACTTCATGTCTTTGCGTTATTTTCTATTCGAGATCATCAAAATACATCAAAATTCACGAGTCGCTGCTGCTGGTTCTCTACGTGCTTGTCAGCCTCTCCATTTTGAAAACATTGGCCATGATGACGACCAATAGACGCGACGGTTCCCGTGGTGGCGCTTATTCGCTAGCTATGATACAGATGGAAAGAAGGAAAAGATGTGTAGTGACATCTGTTGTTTAGGAGGAATGTGAAAAGAAATATGAACATGATAACACAGAAGTTAAAGGGGTCATATGATGCTGCTAAAAAGAACATTCTTTTGTGTATTTGGTGTAATGAAATGTGTTTATGCGGTTTAAGGTTAAAAAAACACATTATTTTCCACATACTGTACATTATTGTTTCTCCTCTATGCCCCGCCTTTCTGAAACGCTCGATTTTTACAAAGCTCATCGGTCTGAAAAAGCCAGGTGTGCTGTGATTGGCCAGCTATCCAGTGCGTTGTGATTGGCCGAATACCTCAAGCGTGTGACGGAAATGTTACGCCCCTTACCATACTGTGATGCCTGCGGCAACCACATGTGACGACTCCGGGCTGGACTCCGCTTCGTCCACGGTGAAAGCCGATCCGGCGATCGACAGCAAGAAGTTGAAGTATTTCCTCAGCAACCAGCACGGATCAGCTCTAGGCATGACGAAGCAGATATCGTCCTCTTTTGGAAGACCAAACAAAGTAGTTTCGCTTTCACAACGAATCACACAGCGCCTTCACGACATGGCGGCGGCGGCAACAACAATACTATAGCGAGAATAAACGTTACGCCTTCTTTCTTTGCGTGAACATTTGGGCGGCGTTATGCTAATCTTCCCACATAGTGATGTAGATATGTGGGGGCGTGTTAGAACGAGGCGTTTTAGGTAGGCGTGGCTGACTCTTAACTTTTATAAAGAATATCTCTTTGGATTTGAGACTTTAGTCTTTGCAACTTTACAGATCTTCTTTATGCACCAAGAGCTTGTAACACTCCAAAGAGAAAGGAAAATTTGAAACCGCATCATATGACCCCTTTAAAATATATTCATTTCTATGCATGCAATGTATAAGTATTAGTGTCAGAATTGTACGTTTTTAAGGGGCAACATTTGAAGGCCAGGGGCATCTTGATAACTTCATGAGGGGACCACAGTGTGTCAGCCATGTTATATTATGTCAAATACGTAAGCTGAATCAATGAAATGAAATTAAGCTTGGAAATAATTCTGAAATATCCACCTTATTTATAGACTGATATCTCAAATAAGGTTTGTGCAGCTGGCAGAACTTCAGTTCAGACTCTGCAGACCTTTGCTCAGTCTGTCACTCCTATCAGTAAATTCTCTAATAACACTGTAACAGCACTGAGTGAGCTGATGTGTGTTACCCATATGCATCTAAATTGTCCAATTTATTTACTCTTGTACTGGAAAGAGCACTCTGATCTGTTATATTCAAGACTATAATGATTGATGATCTTGTTAATCAATTACCGGTTGCACTAATGAAAAACATGCAAGCGTCCTACACTCCTAAAAATAGAGGTTCTTAGTTAGCATCTACAGATCCATGAAGAACCTTTAACATCCATGGAATCTTTCAACTGCACAAAAGTTACTTCATATTGGAAAAAGGTTCTTTAGATAATTTAAGTGGTAAAAGGTTGTTAAGATGTTCTTCACACAAAGTTTTTGTTTTTTAAGAACTGTTCACTGAAAGATCCTTTGGGAACCAAAAAAAATGGTTCTTCTATGGCGTCACTTCTTTTAGAACCATTTCTAAGAGTGTTCCAAATATTTTCTGTATTGATGATTTTTTTATGCATTCGAAATGACTGCTTTTTCTAGTCTCATAGTTATAATCTAACACAATGATAATTTAATGGGGTTAGTATTTCACAAGGTTTACTCACTGTATCACAGGTCAAATCCAAACAATGTAAAATTACTACTGCTTCATGTGGTCTAACATTGTGAAACCTTATCAGTTTGAATGTGGCTTTGGTCCAGAGTTTGTGATGTGGCTTGTGTTGATGTTAATGATTTACTGACAGTAACCTCTAATCCAATCTCTGTGTGTCAGACTGTGATCTCCATGGATTGGTTCATTCTGTGACAAGACCGAGGGAATGACATTTCGCCGGGATTTAGCTTGTCTTACCCTCTGACTATTGGATTTGGAAATGTACATAAAGGAACTGATCTAATGAGATGAAGTGAAATCGCTGGATAAATCCAAACATGGCAGCTGTACATGCAGTCATTTTGTTTCATATTGTCTTCAGTTTTTTACACCAGGGTTTGGGTTTGATTTCAGACTACAAATTATGTGGAGACCCCGAATGTGAAAGTAAGATCATTTATGCTCATATAGTGTAAAAGAAAAGATTAGACTAAAACTGTGATGTGTGTTTACTGTTTATCTTATGTTTTTGTCCATTTCTTCAGGCATGATAAGTCGTGTACAGGCTCAGAGAGACTATAGTGCTAAAGACTGCCGCTTTCTAAACTTCAAAAAAGGGGATATCATCACTGTTTACTACAAACTCACTGGAAAAAGAAATGATCTATGGGCAGGAAGTGTGAGTACTCTTTTCTGGTTCTGTCTTGATTAAAAATATGCATGTATAAATCAGTTTTGTAAGATCAATATACAACATTTGTGCATTACTTAATCTGACATATAAACAGTATGTTTAAAAATATTCAGAATATTTTACATTTTGCAGATAGAAAAGCTGTCTGGATTGTTCCCAAAAGATGCCATCAAAGTTGATCAACCGTTTATTGATGAGAAAAAGGAAATCCAGGTGCCAACTCAGGTAATGTACATTTAAAAAAAAAAGTTTTTAAATGTACTTTTTAAAAAACAAAAAAGTGCATGTTATACGTCTACATCAGCTGGTTTAAATATTATTTAAAATGATCAAATCAACCTCAATACATTCAGTTACAGGAACAAAAACAACTTATTTCTGAAAAAATTATCTGTTACTACTTCCATTACATTAGATCCATTACATTACATCCATTCATTAAAATTATAATTTTTCACTTTTTACAGTGTACAGAATCTGACTCAAATAAGCTGGTGTAGCTAATGTAAACTCCTAAGAAATCTGAATTATCTGACAGAATTAATTCTTATGTATGCTGATTTGGTAAGAAAAGTGTCTACCAAGAACATAAATATTAATCAGTGTAAATTTTCTCCTCAGGAATATGACTTCATATGCTTTGATGAAAATGGTTTAGTGATTGAGCGCAGCACTGAATTTGATGATCTGGAAGATTTGTCACAAGAAACCGATTTCAATGAAGTCCAAGATAATCCTACTGAAACAGAAGAGAGTAAACCCAGTCAGATTTCTGTTCAAGATGTTTCTGATCAAAACAGCCCCAAGACAACACAAAAAGATGGGTCTTCCTGGAAAGGCTCTGCCGTTAGTGGATGGTTTGGCAGGAATGAGCAAAGCAATGATGAACCACAGGATGAGAGCAGTAAAGAATCCTTCAAAAGCAGAAAAATTGTGATGGATATGGAGGAGAACCATGTGGAGGAGAAGACAAACTCTGGAACGTTTGGTTGGATCAGGGGTGAACTCACCAATGCTTTTGGGTTTGGAAACAAGGATCTAAAAACTGATACACGGGACAATATCAAGAACCCAACAAATGACGAAGATACCTCATCTCAGCGGTCTAGCTCCTGGATAAGTATGGGTAGAGATGTCTTGGGCTTTGGTGAAGACAATACTGAAGCTGCAACTAAACCTGAAGCTGGAAAAGCCGATGAAAACACAAACACAGAGGACCAGAGCATATTTAACCCCAGTCAGAACATGGATGTGGTTGACAACAAACAGAGAGATGAAAACAACCCAGACGACAGTGTGGAAAATAAGGATGGTCCCTTGGAGGACAGGAGAACAGAAAATGAAAAAGAAGAGGAACAGGTGGGGTGGTACGGAAATATGTACAACAGGATCACAAACCTTTACAGAGAAGAGCAAACTAAACATTATGAGGATGATGGAGGCAGTTTGACAGAAAGCCATGGATCTACTTCAAATACTGAGAACATTGAAACCAAAGATTCAGAATCAAGTTCACAGTCCATATTTTCAGTCAACGGCCTGACATCAATGCTTAAGCTTCCTTTTCAGGCAGACACAGTAGTAAAGAGAGAGGAGGAAAAGACAGAAAAGGAAGAAGATGCAGGTAAGGAAGACTTTGATGAGGACCAACATAATAACAAGGATCAAGAAGAAAAAATGTTGATTGATATTTATGAGCAGGACTCAAACCCAACAGACACTGATGTACTAATGGAAACTCAGTCTCTGTCTGATAAAACAATGACTTTAAAAGATAGCATTGCATCTGATAGCATTGAACAACTAGATGTAGAATCTAATATGACAGAAAACAGCATGATTTCACAAATCCGTGAAACCGAGTCAGAAGATAATTTAAATGAAGAAGTTAAAAGTGAAAACAATGCTGATTTTTTTGAGGGAAAGGTGGAGCAAGATACAAGAGATGTGCAAAACGATGAGGAAAAGACAGGAAAGAAAGAAGATCCAGGTAAGGAAAACTTTGATCAGGAACAAAATAATAACAAGGATCAAGAAGATAAAATGCCGACTGATATTTATGAGCAGGACACAAACCCAACAGACATTGGCGTACTAAGTGAAACTCAGTCACTGTCTGATAAAACAATGACTTTAAAAGATAGCATTGCATCTGATAGCATTGAACAACTAGATGTAGAATCTAATATGACTGAAGACAGCACAGATTCACAAATCCTTGAAATCAAGTCGGCAGATAATTTAAATGATGAAGTTAAAAGTGAAAACAATGCTGATGTTTCAGAAGGAGCTGTAGAGAAAGACATGAAAGATGTGCAAAGTGATAAGGAAAAGACAGTAAAGGAGATCAATTCAGGTAAGGGGGACTTTCTTGAGCAACAAAATGTGAAAGATGACGAAATATCTGATGTTGTCAAGCAAGAATCAACCACAAAGGATATTGATTTACTTAGTGAAACTCAGGCCATATCTGATGGAACAATGACTTTAAAAGACAGCGCTGCATCTGATGACATAAGAGATATAGATGGCTTTTCTAAAGACTCTAACACCCAACATGGTGATGAAGTTAAATCTGCAAATAATACAACTGATGAAGGTATTCAGAGCAAAAACAACTTAACTGATTCAGCAGATGACATTTTAGAGGGCAAGCTGATACAAAGTCTGTCTGATCAAGACAATTTAGACAGTATCAGACAGCAAGAAAATGATTCTAATAAAATTAGCACAGATCCTGTAACTGTTGCTGATCCATCTGAACTGTCAGAGTCAGATATTCAGACAGATCCTGAGTTACGTTATGAAAATACACAAGAATTAAATGTTGCAGATTTGTACACTGACTCACATATTAAGACTGTCACAACTGGTCAAAGCATAAATGCAGATAAAAATTCTGAACCGACTGTGGATACATTATCAGAATATAATAATGAAAAACAATTAGCTGAAGGCGACCAAGGTATATCGCAAGAAAATTATGAGTTAGTTATAGACACAAAAGATAAGTTAGTTATGGAAAGAAATGAGGAACAATTAGATGAAGAATTACCAAAAGACATCACATTTTATGAAGAAAAGTTATCAGATTCAGAAGCACATGCAACGCAAATGAGCAATGAACATAAATTGGACACAAACATAAATCCTCTTAATGAAAGATCTTCTCATAATCACACTCTTGTAACAGATGAATTAACTGTACCTAGTGAAGAAAATCTGCATTCAGACCTTGAGTCAAATTCAGCCCTAAATGGCACAGATTATGAGATGGATAATAACAGTGAATTGCATCTTGAGTCATTGGTGATAGAAAACTCAGGTATAAGTATTGTCAAGAATACAGATTCAGTAGGTGAAAATGACAATGAGGTTGTTGTTCAAGAAGAGCAAGAGGAATCAGGTACAGTTTCTGAAACTACAGAGAATTATTTTGAAACAAAGGATGACACACAAATCACAAATGAAAGTCTAACACAGGAAACACATACAAAAAGACCATCGCTAAACATGTCTGATGGATCTGTTGATTTAAAAGATTTTGGTCATGATCTCAGTTTACCAGAAAATGCAGACAGTGATAATATTCCTAACGCTGTGGCTGAAGAAGACCCAGATGGCTATACAACTTCCACAGAAACTATGATGAATGATTTCTTCTCAAAGAATGACTCAGTACAGGATGGCAATATTAATATCATGCATGATCAAAATCAAAGTGTTGAACACAAAGAGGAGACCGACACAGCAAACAACGAGGATCATCAAACCGATTCAGAAAGTGTCACGGGAAGGGAGGAAAGCGACATAGGTGCCATCTGGGATCAAAGTGATGATGGTGACATGCCGGTGAAGTCAGAAGATAAAGAAGAACAGGGCAATGAAAAACAACCTGGAAGCCCTGAAATTCAAGACAAAAATACTGGCAATCATCTTACAGAAACCTCTAAAGGATATACAAACTTATATCCTTATCTGAGTGAACAGAATATTGAAGATCTTTTAGATTTATTTGGAGACCAGACGTTATCATGGCTGGATTCCAAAATGGGAAACACTAATGCAGGTCAAGATAATGATGACCTTGATGAACTTGGTGACTTTGAACAGCTGTTGGAAAACCATATGAAGATGAACACAAAACTGGGACATATTCAACAAGATAATGGTTCTCCTGGCAAGGATAACACTAAAGAATATCAAGCACTACAAAAACTGTATACCCTCTTATCTTCTCTAAGAAAGAAATATTCACCAGTGATAACAGATAACAGTGTAGAACGCCCAGGTACTGATGATTCGTAATGATCATTATCAAAAATAATAAGAGCATGACAGATCATGGAATTCATCATTTTGGTCAATATTGCATGGGACAAAAACTTCTGCATATGTGATTAATGGGAAATCTGGGTTTTGAGATCTTACTCTTTGAGTGATGGTAATGTAAAAGTTGTCAAATTTTCTATAATGTTCCCACTATTTCCTCACAGGGATCAGCGAAGATGACTGTGTTCATGAAGCATGTCTAGATGTGAATAAGAATACAGAAATCTCCACAACAGAGGCTGAAAATAATCAAGTTACCGATGACAGATCTGGTATAAATAACTTGGGCAATCCTCAAAATGAGCCAGTCTCTGAGGAAAAGGACCTTTTAGTGAACAGAGCTAATGTGGAGGGTGTTCAGACTGTTGAGCAGGAAAAAAGAAAGCAAAATACAGAAGATTGGACATCTTCTGAAACCAAGAAAGCTTTCCAAAACCACGGTCTTATCTCTGAGGAGCATGTTGAATCACAGAATGGTAATCATTTTTTTGGACTTAAAATGATCCTCTTGTCGGTCCAAACCCATCATGAAGAAAATTGATCTTGAGGGGTGACACTTCACACATTGTAAATTGTAAAAACTTAAATATGTGTTTTGTTCTTTTTGACAGAAGGAGGGCAATTTTATCAGATGGCAGTTTTTGTTGACGTCACAATGAATGAAATTGCATCTCTAGTGGACAAGGTGAGTGTTTCATGTGAAATACATGTAGGAAAAGTAGCTTGCTATAGCCTGCTAAAAGTAGCCTGTCCCTTTTTTTCTTTTTTGTATTAAAGGCACAAAGTTATTTTTTGAGAGACCTATTTTTCATAAAATTCTAAAAAAAATAAATAAAATAAAAAGGATATTCTGGACAATTACAATCACACAATAATGTATTTTTTTTTACTTAAAACATTTGATATTCAATTCATTCTAGTAGAGTACATTTAAATTATTATCATTATCATCGACCTTTTAATTATGATGTTTATTTTATTTTATGTTTATTTTTATTGTTTTATTTTCCGTGTAAAATTTGGGGAATATGTACTTTAGATTCACATTTACTGCACATGTAGGTACATTTACATTACATTTAGTCATTTAGCAGACGCTTTTATCCAAAGCGACTTACAAATGAGGACAATAAAAGCAGTCAAAACTAACAAAAGAGCAACAATATATAAGTGCAAATGACAAGTCGCGGTTAGCCTAACGCAGTACTCGTAGCAAGGTGTATATATATATATATATATATACTATACACACACACACATATACACACACACAAACAAAGAAAAACAAGTAGATAGAATAGAAAGCTAGTGTTTGTTTTTTGTTTGTTTTTTTTTAATAAAGAAAAAAAAAAAGATAAATATACATAAAGTAGAATTAAAATAGAATAGAAAGTGCTAGAGTTATAGGGTCAAATAAAGGTGGAACAGATGTGTTTTTAGTCGTTTCTTGAAGATGGTTAAGGACTCAGCAGCTCGGATTGATTTGGGCAGGTCATTCCACCAGGAGGTAAAAACACCGATTTAGAAAATTACACCTAAATCGGTATTTTTACCTACATGTGCAGTAAATGTGAATCTAAAGTACACATTCCCCAAAGTTTACACAGAAAATAAAACAATTCATATAATATTTCATTTAGCTGAGGATGACAATCCGCATTTTCTGAAGCCAATTTTTGTTCAAAATATATTTTTTAAGTGTTTCATGCAATATTGTGTACTCTATTTGTGGAAACAGCCGGTGTCGTGCCGAAAATGTATCATCTGCCGAAAACTGATTGCCGTCTGTAATCATTTTTTTGCAAGTGTAAAACTGCATTTTATGGGTTTTATTGGCCATTTAAAGGTATTTCAACAGGTAAAAAAGGACTGCATGAGGTATAATCTATCAAATATAACAACCATGAATGAAATCAAGTCATTTTGAGGCAGAAAGAACAGTTCACTCAATAAGTAGAGTCTGTAATCACTTTTTGGCAAGTGTAAAACTGCATTTTATGGGTATTTCAACAGGTAAAAAGGACTGCATGAGCTAAACGACTTAATTGCATTCGAGGGTTATATTTGACAGATTATAGCTTGTTAGAAAACACTCTCTGTCTGTATTGGTTCCAGATGTTTCCCCCTCCTCCATCTGTTCTCTCTCTCTCTTGTATTATGTTTTAATATCTCGTACTCATATTCGAGGTACGCATGCGCACATGTATGCATTAGCTTTTCTTGGTTCAAATGTTCAAATCAGGACACGATAGCTAGGACTCCAAGGTAATGGGGTTCGTGATGAACTATGAAGATAGTTCAGCATCCTTCGCCAAGTTTATTCCTAATATGTCCATATTTTCCTGTACATGTGGCCATTTTATATAACACATATTCTTGGCCAACATCCTATATGTATGTCATCTATATCCTCATTGGTTAAAGGGTTGAAACTCCCCTCGACATATGCCTATATAATATCTTTGTCTATGAATAAAGTTGAAGTATTGAGAATACCATTTGATGTGTGTTTTCTTGCTTCCCGGCCGTATACACTTTAAGGGACTGAGAATTTTCCAGGTGGCAAAGAGAATCTATAGGGACCGGTTGTTAATTACTGACATAGCTCATGCAGTCCTTTTTACATGTTGAAATACCCATAAAATGCAGTTTTACACTTACCAAAAAGTGATTACAGGCGCCAATCAGGCAACCGATCAATTTTCGGCACGACACGTGACCGGAGTGTCATATTTTGCACTCAAGGCAAATTGATTGATATTGATAAGTATTTACTGTCTCTACAACTAAATAACCTATAAAACCTGCTAAATAGATAATAAATAAAATTGTAATGCAGACACAAAGGTAAGTTAAGTAGTCATTTTGAGTTGAGTTTAATCCAGAGGGAGTTGCTCAACCGGTCTCTGTATCAATGACCTTTGTTTATAGAGAAATATTTAACTGACACACCCACCAATGAAACATACTTACCCATATTTTAAACTATGACATTTCATAACCAGGTCATGACCAATATTTTTGCGTGTGTGCTTACTGACTAATTCCTCGGCGTCGATAGATCCGTCTGTCTCTTTAAAACGCGAGCGTAACGTTGTTGCACTCAGCAATTGGTGACGTGTGGAAGCAACCATGACCCTTGTAGGGGTGTTAAATTTTGTGGCTTTTAAATGTTTCGCATAAAGTCAAAACATTACTGTTTTATATAACACAATACATGTTTTTTCTCCTTTAAAAATAGAAGAACAAATATCAATGACGTTTGCAATTTACATTTTCGAAACACAAGCGCATATGCTTCACGAGTCCTCCCTAAAACACAAGAGTGCGCTCTTCCTCTCAGCGCAGTGAGCACTAGCAGTCAGAGTAGAGCAGCGTCCGGCACCATGGCATAACAACATAAATGAACAGATTACAGAATTTAGAATAACTCAGTTTGGATATAATCATGGCAGACGAATTTAAGGCCGAGTCTGTCGTTACAGAAGCGACTGACATGAAAGGAGCAGCGAAGATTTACTACACACTCGCCGTGGAGAAAATCAAAGATGTATGTGGCACACAGTGTGTATGATGAGACAGCGTTAGTGTGTATGGCAGCTGTCAGCAGGTGTCATATATATTTCTATTAAGTCAGCTATCATAGTACTCATCATTTATTCTAATGCAGTATTTACATGTGTTTAATTAGATGTATACTGTGTAAACTGTTTTGTATTAAGACATAGCTGGTTAGCATTGAAGCATCTGGTACATGTTGCTAATTTCATCTTACATTACCATTGATTTGTGTGATTTTATTGAACTTATTGATTTATAGATCTACAGTGACCTTTATTGGCCTTCAGCTGACCTTTTATTGGCCTTGTTTACCAGTTTATGACGGTATAGCTTTAGTGTTGAGAGGTTTAGTGTATATTGTCTTTTTCATCTTACAGTGGCATTGGTTTTGGTCAGTTACTGTAGGTCAGTGACAAATGAGGATGTCTTTTTTTTATCTATTTTAAAACACATCGTAGTTTTTTTAGAAAACTTTATACATTTTATTTGAATAGTTTTGATTTCTTGACTGTAAAAATGACAGGTGCTAAAATATTCTTTGCAAAAATGTGTGATATAAATGATCATTATTATTACTGCTATGTTTAAGAAATAATAATGAACGTTTATGTGAAACGACTAAAAATTGTGTCTGTGTTTGATCATGTGAATGTGGGTTTAGGTTTATAGAACATCCTGTCCACTTTTGTATGCGTGACAGAGAGAGGGTTAAGAAAAGCCTTATAATATGAAAGCGTGTAAAATTGCTTAATTTATACTTCTCTTTTTATTGAGAATTCATATAACTGTTTAACTTCTGTGTCTTAGGTTGTATCTTCACTTCCTGATGATATCCGGCCTGGTGCTGACTTATATGGACTGCCATGGGAAGCTGTGGTTTTCACAGGATTTTTAGGTGTATTGACACTGCTTCTGTTCAGCTGCAGGTTCATTCAGTCTGTAAGTCATGCATTACTGCTACATAAAAATGCACACTTTATGAGTGCTATCATTTCACTAAATGAGCTTTTTCTGTTTTGTTCTGCAGATCAGAAGTCGAATATATGCAAGTGAGTGTTTTCCATCTCTTTATCTGCTTTAAACCTATCCTCATGATCTGTTTTATCTGATCTCCACTGTCAGCTCTCAACTGATCCTGTCTGTTGATTTGTTTGCAGGTAAAGAGACGCAAATGGTGCAGAAAGTGGCCGAACTGCTTGATGAAAAGTGCAAAGTGCTGGAGACATTCAGTGAGGTTAAACAGAAGGTGAGAAATGATGTTACAGTATATGAACACTTAATGCACATCAATGCTTGTATAACTGCATTCTCCTAAATCAGTCCCTCTAAACAATGTCTGTCCATCTCAACAGTTTGACAAGCTAGAGTCCACACTACAGAACAATGGCATGTCTGCACAAGCTGCAGAAAAAGACAGTTTAGAGGTAAATATGGTCATTATGGTCTCAAATCTACTAATGTACTAAAGGGGGAAGTCGTGGCCTAATGGTTAGAGAGTCGGACTCGTAACCCAAAGTTGCGGGTTCGGGTTTCGTACCGGCAGGGATTGTAGGTGGGGGGAGTGAATGTACAGCGCTCTCTCCCACCTTCAATACCACGACTGAGGTGCCCTTGAGCAAGGCACCGAACCCCCAACTGCTCCCCGGGCGCCGCAGCAAAAATGACTTTGGATGGGTTAAAATGCAGAGCACTAATTCCATGTCACGTCACTAAAAATGTTTATAAAATGTGTCGCCCTGACCACTTCACTAGTTACCTGATCCAATTACAGTGGGTACGGAAAGTATTCAGACCCCCTTAAATTTTTCACTCTTTGTTATATTGCAGCCATTTGCTAAAGTCATTTAAGTTAATTTTTTTTCCTCATTAATGTACACACAGCACCCCATATTGACAGAAAAACACAGAATTGTTGACATTTTTGCAGATTTATTTTTAGGTGGCGTCACAGAAATTTGAACAATCAAATGCACAAATGAAAAAGGAAATAGAGAGGCTGCAAGAAGAGCTGTCCCAACAAAACAAAGCAAGGAAACAGCAAGAGGATCAGGTAATGTTGTCATTCACACAGATACACTCACTTAACATATTCAAACTACCCTGTTCATGCTTGATGCCCTTTATGTTGTCTGTATCTGTCCTAACAATTGTTATATTTGTTTTTCAGCTTGCTGAACTTGAGCAGATTTTAAGAAATTTAGAAGAGGAAGCTAAAGAACGAAAGTCCCAGTTAGAACAGGTATTGACTATGTATATGATGCATGTTTCAGTCATATTTCCTTTTTTAAACACAATCATTTGTAATTCTATACTGTTACCCGTTTCTCCATCTGTAGGACAACACAACACTGAAGATCCATGAGATCAACACAGAGCGACTGCAGAAAAACCTGCAGGTGGCCAAAGAGGAGCATGCAATGCTGCTTGAGAGTAAAGAACAGGTGAGATCTGTGTTAGAGTGCTTAGTTTGGAGAAGATGAACAGATCAATAAAAAACATTTAACAGGAGTACCTATGTTTTCTTCACTCATACAGCTGGTGCAAGAGGCAGAGGACTGGGGTGAACGTCTCGGTGAGCTGGAGGAGGAGATGAAAATGTGTGAAAGATCTCATACTGGTATGCTGGAGGACTGCGCTAATAAAGATGATCGCATCAAGGTAAAAATACAATGGCATCAGGCTCAATGAGACCAGACACTAGAAAACAGAAAACCGTCATATTTCTTTCAGTATCAAAAGAACAGCATTTATTTGTAAATGTTTTTACTGTCACTTTGCATCCTTGCTAGGGATGTAACGATTCACTCAACTCACGATTCGATTCACGATTTTGATTTCACGATTCGATTCACGATTTTTTTTTTACAAAATGAGATTTAAGACAAATTATAAATTAAATGTGTCCTTTTATTATTGCTTGGACAAAATACTGTACGTTTCTTTGTGAAATTGAAATATAACACTATAATAATATACTAATATAGCACTTGTAAATTATTGCTCTTTTGTTGTTTTGATTGCTTCTATTGTCCTCATTTGTTAGTCGCTTTGGATAAAAGAGTTTGCTAAATAACACAATTTTAATATAATGTAAATGTAAATAACAAAACTAAATTGAAATTTTAAAACAAGCCCCAAATTAAATAAATAAGTAACACAAATAAAATAAATCTCTTCATATAAACAAACTAAGGCTTTGTCTGTGCTCTTCCCATTTAAAATTAGAGGCAACCACTGCATTTTAATCATGATCCAAACAAAGATGCTGCATACATGCAACATGAGCAGTTTTTAATCTAAATTACATTGTATAGTTTCGAAATTTGAAGCAAAAACAGAATGGTTTGACTATAGTTTTGTGAAACTATGCATAAAAAATATCTGCATGAAACAGAAACAGCAGAGGAGCTGAATGAGACGCAGATTCACTCTCTGCCAGCAGGTGGCGCTTAAAGTGTTTCCTTGGGTTCCGCTGTAAACAATGCAGCGCTGCACTTATGAACTTTAATATGCATTATACAGAGGCAAGAGGAAAAGAAAAAATACCATCGAAAAAGACAGTAAGTTCCCCTCAGACATATATTCATATAAACTCCTACCCCTAATTGAATCGCGATTTGTTTAGCATCTCAACCGATTTGAATCGTCACATATTTAAATCGATTTTCAACCGGCTCGCAGTTAATCGTTACATCCCTAATCCTTGCTGAATAAAAGCATTAATTTCTTTAAAAAAATAATAAAATACGGACCTCATATGGTAGCATATGTGATATAATTAAAATATATATCAAATTAGATGTACACAAAAGTGTCGAAACATAAATAAACATGTTATATTCTTAAATGCACAATATTTAATCAAACTTTACTCAAAAGTTTTTAAACAGGAAATTATTCATTGACAAAATCTAGTACACAGCGTGGTAAAAATACAAAGATCTGTCATGAAACTCTAGATGGCGCAGGCCGATAGGTTCTAACTCAGTCAGACATAATGACATTATTCACGTGGCGCAGCTGATTGGTTCTTTTTGTATCAGCTGTCAATGAGCTTGCTGCTCAACATTCAAATACTTGGCTAGTGCTCGCTGTAGCAGTTGCAGCGCACTTCAGAAACCCTCCACCTTCCCCAGCTCCACCTGTATAGATCTGCTATGGGGTGACTTCATGTATGTTTTATATGGGGTTGTCTCATATATGTTATATGTGACCCTGGATCACAAAACCAGTCTTAAGTCACTGGGGTATATGTGTAGCAATACATTGTATGGGTCAAAATTATAGATTTTTCTTTTATGCCAAAAATCATTAGGATATTAAGTAAAGATCATGTTCCATGAAGATATTTTGTAAATTTCCTACCGTAAATATATCAAAACTTTTTGATTAGTAATATGCATTGCTAAGAACTTCATTTGGACAACTTTAAAGGCGATTTTCTCAGTATTTTTATTTTTTTGCACCCTCAGATTCCAGATTTTCAAATAGTTGTATCTCGGCCAAATATTGTCCTATCCTAACAAACCACACATTAATGGAAAGCTTATTTATTCAGCTTTCAGATGATGTATAAATCATATATGTAAATATAAATTTACCCTTATGACTGGTTTTGTGGTCCAGGGTCACATATGTGTAGCAGCAGTATTTCTTACATGCTCACAGCAGCATGCCATGGATGTACTGGCAGTAGCAAGTCTCGGTACTTGCTCTGCAGCGGCAGCAGCATAGCAGATCTATTCCACCAAGACCAAACACATTGACATGGCCATGTATATTACCATGCTAAACTCTCTGAGAGCTATCATGGCAGAACTGTATTTCAAAAAAAAAAATAAAAATACACATTTTCCTTTTCTTGTATCAGTCACTGACAGAGTGCCTTTTGAAGATGCGAGATTGGGATTCTGAGGATGAGAGCTGCATTGACGGCAGCACCAATGCAGCTGGAGCTGAGAATGGAGACAGTTCAGGTTCAAGCTCTTGTGGTTAATTTGGGAATATTCTTAGTTTGATTTGAAGTCAGGTCTTGAGGTGTCATCTCATGAGTTTTTTGTGCTTGCAGATTTCCATCAGAAGCAAAAAGTACAGAAACTTATTGAAGCGGCCAAGGTACTCCTACTCACATCCTGGTTGTCTCAAACCTAGTGAAACACCTAGATAAGATACGATACACATATGACTGCCAAACATCCTGTCAAGTATGGCAGCTCACTGGGGTTTGAAACACAACCCTTATGTGTCAGTTTAAATGAATAACTTCTGTCTACATCCACAATATTCAGATATGCTGCTAACAGATATGATGCGGTAGATAAGTTAGTCCTCTTTGTCACAGATGAGTGCAGACTTGAAGTCCATGGAGGAGCACAAGAACAGAGTGTTAGCCAAACTCGCAGATGAAATTAAAGCCAAAGAAGATCTCCAAGGTAAACACTTCCACTAGAGTTGAAACAGGTGCTGATGCATGAACCTTTTAATTTGATATATAATTATGTTTGATTGATTGTAGAAAGAAAATGTGACTTATTCATTCATAATGGGAATCTGTAGGCACCTTACAATTTTATTTTCGATTGATTTGTATTCCTATCTTGCTGAATTAATCATAACATCACAACATATTTGCTTTCCTACCTGATATTCTTGGAAAACACCTGCTATGCAAATATTATGAGTAATAAAAGTGGATCTGATTTGCTTTGGCCTGAATATATCAAACATGATCTTTCAGACTGTAAATGAAGACTTGTTTTCTTGTTTCTCTGTATTCTCAGAGGGGATCAAACAGCTTGAGGAGCAGAAGGAGGTGTTGGAATCAGAGAGTGCCAGCTATGCTAGTGAAAGCCAGAAACTCCAGCAGAAACTCCAGATCGTGACTGAGATGTACCAGGAGAATGAACTCAAACTACACAGGTTTGGACCATGGAAAATCTTTATCCTCCATTCAGTGTCTCTGAAGTCTTTTTTTATTGGAATTTCAAATACTAATGCTAATCATTCAATTATTTCTTGGACTCTTGTCAGGATGTTGACAGTGGAGGAGAAGGAGCGCTTACAGAAGGAGGAGAAGCTCAACAAGGCAGGCAAGAAGATCAGTCTTGCTGCAGAGGAGCTTAACACTTACAGGTCAGAGCAAATTGTTTAGCACACATGAGGAAGTCGAGTTAAGTATGATATAGTATGTGATAAAATCAAAGGACATGGTCTCTGAGAAGGGGAGAAAACTTGAAGCATAATGAACGTTCACTAAAAGAGGAAGTTTACATTATAGTCTCTTTCACTATGTTTATATAGACAACGAGCCAGAGACCTAGAGGAAGAACTGGAACGGACGTCACTGGCCTACAAGAATCAGGTGACACGCTAGTAATGCTACAACAACGTCTCTACATGATTTATATTGATAAAGGTTCTTCAGTGGCACATGCTGATGATACCCACGAGGAATATGTTTATTATAACCTATTATTATTTTTAGACAACATTTACTCAAAATACTCTCATATAAGAAATATCTGAAACCACAAAATGTTGATGAAATTGTTGGTAGATTTTGGAACTGACATTAGGGGGAGACATTATACATCCTTATATCAGTCTATCATTATGATGTAGACCTATGTGACTGATACAAGGATGTATAATTCATAATTAATTATAATTATATAATATAAATATGTATTATATAAATTATTCTTTTTTTTCTACCACAAATGAGATAGATAGATAGATAGATATGCATGTATATGTACACACAGTACAATATATACAAAATTATATATGACCAATATGAGAATATATAATAAATACAATTATATAAAAATACAAACAAATATGTAAATTATATAAATATTTTTCATGAATCATTCTTTTACCACCACATTATTTATTTACCACCACAAATGAGAGTGATATCTCATATATACTTGTATCAGTTTATCATTTCTATATATATGAATATTTATTTTATATATTTTTTTCTTTTTCTTTTTTCTACCAGATTACTTCTCATGAGAAAAAGGCTCATGATAACTGGGTAAGTTGTTTTCAGACCACTTATATTTGATCCGTACCAGTCATCAGTAGCTTTATTGTGTCAGAAGTATACTGTTCTTATTGTCTGTGTTATAGCTAGCTGCAAGGGCAGCAGATCGAGACCTGACTGATGTCACGAGAGAAAATGCTCATCTCCGCCAGAAGTGAGATTGACTAGAGAGTATTTTACTGTAGTGTTTTATATACAGCAGAAGCAATATTTATCCATACATATTAATATGTTAACAATTGCAGGCTGACTGGTGCCCAATTCAAGTTTGAGATTCTTGAAAAGGATGTACGAGAGGGCAGACCTTTATTTAGAGGTCAGATACTCTTCACTTCCCTTTGGCTAGTACATGTCTATGATTTAAAATGGTGTTAACCATTAGCCATGCATTTCCCCATCTCACAGGTGAAAGATCTCCATATGGATCCTCTCTTAGCCGACCATCTTCAGAAACACGGGCCTTCCTGTCCCCTCCTACACTAATGGATGGACCCCCTCGACTCTCACCTCAGTTTATGGGTCCAGGCAGAGGTGATATACACACATCATTCCCTTTTTTAATTCTGGGAAAAGTCTCCTAGCTAGTATGAAAAATGTGATTCATTCTTTGCATTCTCAGTCTTAAGTTGTCTAGCAATATTTTGTGTGTGTGTCTGTGTATTACATGCATGAATACAGTTCATCTCCCATGAGATATAGTTAATATGTTTGCATTAGGGGTATAATGGGTTTGGTTTACGTCACAGTTTCAGTATGGTTTGGTACATACTTATGATAGGACATTTTTCTATACAGTTACCTATACACTACTATTCAGGTCAGTAAAATTTTTTGTACTTTTATTCAGCAAGGATGCAAATAACTTGATCAAAAGTGGCAGTGAAGGGATTTATAATGCTACAAAATATTTTATTTTAAATCAATTCATTTGATACTGAAAAAATGTCAGCTTCCACAAAAATATTAAGCAGCACAACTGTTTTCAACATTAATAATAACAATGTTTCGTGAGCAGCAAATCCGCATATTAGAATGATTTCTGAAGGATCATGTGACACTGAAGACTGGAGTACAAATAGAAAACATGTATTTTAAATTGTATTTTTATTTACAGAATTGCTGCTTTTACTGTAATTTTGATCAAATAAATGCAGTCTTGCTGAGCATAAGAGACCCCAAACTTATATTCAGATTTTGAAAGAGCCCCTTTTATTTGATCTTTTACAGCAAAATGCTAAATCACAGAAAACAATTGACATTTTACTAAATGTTACACGGTGTAGATGCATTTAAAAGAATATGCATCCAGTGCTATCTCCAAAACTGCTCCAGTTAAATTTAGTATCTGTAAGTTTTTTTATTTACTTTAGGATAGTTAATGCATATCACTAATAATTAAAGACCTGCAAGATATACCAGTACCATTTTTGCAGTTTAAATGCATACTAAATCGTGGGTAGCAAATCATTTCCCACGTTTGCATATAGATGAGTCTTGTCTTTCATTACCCTCGTTAATATTTTGTTGGTTGTCTCCCTTTCCTCGCTTTTCCATTCTTAACTTCCTCAAACATTTTTATGTGCCATTTCTCTCCACTCCTTTCATCTTCCTTCACTCTCACTGTCACATAATCAGCATCCCGTGGCAGAGTAGAGCCCCCTAGTGGTGGGCCAGACTCTGATAGTGGCTCGTTGTCTCCTTCCTGGGACAGGGAACGTAGGGGCCCTCCCCCCCCTCCAGGTACAGTGATGTTCCCACTGCTGTGACTGCCCTGTAGCAGGAGGAAATACTTCTCTAGCTCTCAAAGATCAAGAATTATGGATAGAAAACCATAAGCATATTAACATGACTGCCCATTTTTACATATCACTAGTTTAGCCAATCATAACAGGTCTTTTACATAGTCTTAAAGGTACAGTAAGGCAAAAAAAAAGCCTGTTTATTTTTAATGATCAGAGAGAGGGAGGAAATAGTTGTGTAAAAGTCCATTCTGATGCAAGAAACCGTAATATTATAAATGGACTTCACAGAAAAAATTTATGCTAAAACAAAATGAGGCTTATTTGCGCGATTCAATGTCAATTTGCTATTGATTTATGAATATTAAGCACTAAACTGTCTTGTGCCTATAATTTAGCCAACGGTGTGAAGTGAGAGGTGTTTCTGTTACTGAAGCTCAAACTCAGTTATTCAGAGGTGGCTGAGAAGCGCTGACTCAGCCGCACAGCTCATTGAAGAGTCACAGAACTGGGCCTTCTTTGTTCTAGACGTTTCTGTGGTTTTGGGCTGTGCGTCGGGCTTTGTCCCACTGCCCTCTGCTGCTCCTCACTGTTGGGCTAAATACTGTCGATTCAGGGGCTGTGGACTAAATGTTCAGCGCAGTGATTAGTTATTTCATACTGTGGGTGTGAATAGCACAGGACATCACTGTATTTTTAAAATGTCATTCGAATCATTCCCATTACATCCTAGGTGTTCATGGGCCAATCATTTTCAAATGTTAAGTTTTGTGTTTGTTTGTAATGTACAATGCATTTTGAAAGGGTCTTGAATTTAGTTATAATAATATGAATTAATTTATTTATTATTATTATATATTTAAAATATATTGTTTAATGTTACATTTTTATTTTATAAATGTATATATTTTTAAATAATTATTTGTAAGTTTTTGTTTTTAATTGTAATACATTATCCATTTCTCTGATAGTGTCTGAAAGGCTCTTAAATTTAGAATACTAGAATATTGCGAATAATAATATAATTAAAAAATAGTTTTTTTTTATTTTAAATTGCATTTTGTTTTTATTTGTAATAAAATGTTTACAAGGCTCTTGAGTTTATTTAGAATAAATAATGTATATAAAAAATATTATATTACATTTATATAAATTATAATCTTGATTATAGAATTATTTAAATAAATGTATATTATATAGATATTCATTAAAAAAAAAAATATATATATATATATATATATATATATATGTTTATGAAAGGTCACCCTCTCCCAGATCCGGGTTTGCCCTTTAGGAGGCCTCCTCCAGGTCCATATCCTATGGGTCCTTTGCCTCCTAGACCTTCACTTCCTCCTGAGCCATACTTTGGTGACAAATCAGGTGAGTCTTTCCATGTGACCGCCTCTGTGATATGTTTGAATTCTCCTCCGTTTCTCTTAAAGGTCATTTGTACCTGTGGAATTATAAATAGCCCATATGACTCACATATACAAGCCTAATAGTAACTTAGTAACTAATACTGAAAAACTGAGATACATATTCTAGTAAGTGGAGCAACAAAAACTCCCTGCTAACTTGTTTTATGCAGCTCATGTAATAGCATTACCAAGGCATGAATGAATTCTCTTTTCAGCAATCCTGAAGAATTAAAATGAAAATGTGAGAGTGGGAGTTTGGCTCAAAGATCCTAAGAGTATTTTTTCCTCTCTCTCTTTGTCCCAGATTCATCATTTCTAAGAAACAGCTCATCTATCAGTGAGAATGAGAGCAGAGAAGTGAGTAAACCACCGACTGATGAGAAAAATGTAGTTTTTGTAAATGCACATAACTGAAATGTCTTTTCACAGGGTCCTCACTCGATGCCTGGTGACATGAGATTGCCTCCTGATCCAGATTCAAGAATGGGGCCTCCTCCTGGCCCCCGGTTCATAGGAATGCCCCCGCTGATGGACCCTAGGGACCCACACTTCCCACCCAGGGGCCCTTATGGACCTCCGGAGTTCTTTCCCCCTCGTGGGCCTGGTGGTCCCCCCATAGGCAGTAAGTTAACTCTTTCCACTTGAAATGTGAAAGTGCATATGAAGCACATTTAACTTCTGCAATGTGACTTTTTCACAAACTAAAAGCATATTTAGTGGGACATGATTTATGGAAAGACTTTATTTAGTGATTTGATTGATAAAGTTAATAAGATTGGTTAATGTTATATTTTAATTATTTAATATATATTTGTTATTATTACACATTTTAATTTTGCCATTTGATTTATTACAAGATAGGACTTTTTATATATATATATATATATATATGGGGCCCTTATGGACCTCCGGAGTTCTTTCCCCCTCGTGGGCCTGGTGGTCCCCCCATAGGCAGTAAGTTAACTCTTTCCACTTGAAATGTGAAAGTGCATATGAAGCACATTTAACTTCTGCAATGTGACTTTTTCACAAACTAAAAGCATATTTAGTGGGACATGATTTATGGAAATACTTTATTTAGTGATTTGATTGATAAAGTTAATAAGATTGGTTAATGTTATATTTTAATTATTTAATATATATTTATTATTATTACACATTTTAATTTTGCCATTTGATTTATTACAAGATGGGACTTTTTATATATATATATATATATATATATATATATA